ATTTTTCACTCAGAAAAATGCCCTTGAGATTTATCCAAGTTGTGTATGTCAGTGGTTCTTTTCCTTGTATTTCAGAGTAGTATTCTGTGGTATAGATGTATTGCAATTTGTTTACCCATTCACTCACTGAGAAACTTTTTTGTTTTTTCCTGTTTTTGACTATTATAAAGAAAGCTGCTATTAAAATATATGTACAGGTTTTTACAGACATAAATTTTCATTTCTCCGGATTGAATGCCCAAGAGTGGAATTGCTAGGTTGTATGATAAATGTCTATTTTGTTCTTTTAAAACTCAAACTATTTTTCAGAGTGGCTTCACTATTTTATATTCCCATCAACAATATGTGATCCAATTTCTCCTTATTCTTGCCAGTATTTGGAATTGTCACTTTTCAGTTACTATAATAGTTGCATTGTGATGTCTAATTGTAGTCTCAATTTGCATGTCCATAATGGAAAATGTTGAAGATTTTTTCCTGGAATTATTTGCCATCTGCATACCCTGTTCAGTGATGTGTCTCTTCATGTCTTTGGCCATTTTCTGATTAGATAGCACTTTTGTTTTATGTTTGTCATTTTCTAAATGTTGAGTTCATTATATATTCTAGATATAGTTTCTTTCTTATATATGTGATTTGTAAAAATTTTCTTCCAGTCTGTAGTTTGCCTTTCATTTTTAAAATTTTTTTTATTTAAATTCAATTTAGTTGACATATAATGTATTATTAGTTTCAGAGGTAGAATTTAGTGATTCATCTTTGCATATAACACCCAGTGCTCATTACATACAGTTCCCTCCTTATTGCCTTTTCAATTTTCTTAAGAGATTCTTTTGAGAGCAAAATCTTTAATGTTGATGAAGCCTAATTTATCAGTATTTTTCTTTTATGGATTATATATTTAGTGTCATGTCTAAGGATTCCAAAAAAGCCTTATGTCCCCCAAATTTTCTCTTATGTTATATTTTAAAAGTTGTGTTTGTTTACATTTTACATTTAAATTTGTACTTCATTTTGTGTTAATTTCTGTGAATATGCAAGTGCTAGAGGCTCATTTGTTGAAAGACTATCTTTGCTCTACTGAATTGCTTTTTTACCTTCATCAAAAATTGAGTGGTCATATTTATGTGGACTACATCTGATTTCTCTATTCTATTACATTTATCTATTTGTCTATCCTTCCTCCAACACCATACAATATTGATTAATATAACTATATAACAAGCCTTGCAATCAGGTAGAGTGATTCCTCCCATTTTATTCTCCTGTTTGAAGTTATTTTAGCTACACTAAAACATATAAGCAAATACTATATTTTATCTTTAATATATAAATATAATAAAAATATTTAAAATACTATATATTTATGAAACATTTCTAAAATACTATATCTTATAATATTTCCACATAAATTTTAGCATCCTATTATCTATATCTACAAAAAGATCTTTTAGGGATTTTGATAGGCATTTTCCATAATAATTTGTATATTACTTTGTCTGGTTTTGATATCAGGATAATACTTTCATGAAATGAGTTAAGAAGTCACCCCTCCTCTTTGATTTTGTTGTAATCGATACAGACCTCATGTTAATTACTCTAAATGTTTGGTAGAATTTTATAGTGAAACCATCTGGGCTTAGAGATCCTTTTTTTTTGTAAATTTTAAATTATGAATTCAAATTCCTTAATAGTTGTAGGACCATTCAAATTATTGACTTCATACTGAGTGAGTAGGCAATTTATACTTTTTGAGGAAGTGCTCCATTTCACCAAAGTAGTAAAATGTATGTGTGTAGACCTGTTGCTAGTTATGTCCTTATTATACTATAATGCCTGCAAAGTGTGTAGCAACACTTCTTGTTTCATTTCTGTTATTAGTAATCTGTGTTTTCTCTTTTTGTAAGTCTTGGAAGATGCTTGTAAATTTTATTTACCTTTCCAAAGATCTATTTTTTTCATTGATTTTCTCTATTGTTTTTCTGTTTAAATTTTATTGATTTCTGCTCTTAGCTTTATGATATCACTTATTCTGCTTGCTTTGAGATTATTTCACTCTTCTTTTCATTATTTCCTGAAGTGGAAGTTCAAATTATTGATCTGAGACTTTATCTTTTCTAAAGCAAGCACTGAATGGTATAAAATTCCCTTGTATCACTGCTTTACCTGCATCTACAAATTTTAATATTTTGTACTTTTATCTCCATTCAGTTCACTGTCTTTTTAATTTCCTTTGAGACTTCCTCTTTGATCCATGTATTGTTTAGTTTCCAAGTGATTGGAGATATTTTTTATCTGTTTTTTTTATTATGTTATGTTAATCACCATACATCATTAGTTTTTGATGTAGTGTTCCATGATTCATTGTTTGCGTATAACACCCAGTGTTCCATTCAATACGCACCCTCTTTAATACCCATCACCAGGCTAACCCTCCCCTCTAGAACCCTCAGTTTGTTTCTCAGAGTCCATCATCTCTCATGGTTTGTCTCCCCCTCCAATATCCCCCCCCTTCATTCTTCCCCTTCTGCTATCTTCTTCTTCTTCTTCTTTTTTTCTTAACATATATTGCATTATTTGTTTCAGAGGTACAGATCTGTGATTCAACAGTCTTGCACACTTCACAGTGCTCACCATAGCACATACCCTCCCCAATGTCTATCACCCAGCCACCCCATCCCTCCCACCCCCCCACCACTCCAGCAACCCTCAGTTTGTTTCCTAAGATTAAGAATTCCTCATATCAGTGAGGTCATATGATACATGTCTTTCTCCGACTGACTTATTTCAAAAGGAATGAAATCTTGCCATTTGCAATGACATGGATGGAATTGGAGGGTATTATGCTGTTTATCTCTTTTTGATTTATATTTTGATTCCACCGTAGTCAAAGAACATGTTCTCTATGGTTTTAATTCTTTCAAATTTATTGAAGTTTGCTTTATGTCCTACGATATCTTGGTATATGTGTATTATATATCTATTCTGCTGTTGTTGAGTGGACTGTTCATTACATATGAGATCTTGTTGGTTGGAGATATTGTTGAGGTCCATATTCTTGATAATTTTCTTTTTCCTATCAATTTTTGAGAGACTGAAGTTTCCTTTTTCTTTAATATCTACCCTCTCAGTTCTGTTTTTCTTCACATATATTGCCACTCTACTGTTTAGTACATAGATGTTTAGAATTTCTTTGTCTTTGTGCTTAAGTGATCCTTTTATCATTACATAATATCTCTTTGTGTCTCTGGAAATTTTATTTGTTTGTACTCCACATTACCTGATATTAATATAGTCAGTCTTGCTTTATTTTGATTAATTTTTGCATGGTATAAGTTTTACAATTCTTTTTGTGTCTGCCTTATGTATATTAGTATACTTGAAGTGAATTTTTTCTAGAAGCAGACATGTAAATGAGACTTTGGGAAGTAGAACTTTAGTTCACAGTTTTCTCAGTACTATACACCAAAGTTACTTGACCTTGGGTTTTCAGGGAGAAAAATTATTTAAGTAAAAATTTTATATAATGCTCATATTGTGATAACCATTCTAAATGACCATCTGACTATGAGCTTCAGTACTCAGAATCTCTTTTCAGTCAATCAACATTTATTAAACAAATATTTATTGGGCACTTATATATTACTGAAACTGTTCTGTTTATGTTGGACAGAAAAAGACAAGTAAATTAATTTCATAAAGGCTTTAATGGAAATAATATGGGGTAATGTAAAAGAAAGTGATTTGAAAAAGTTCTCTAATTGTGTGGTCAGTGAAGATATCTTAAAAGATATATCGATCTTTGAGCTGAGATTTGAATATCAAGCAAAAGACATCCATGCTGAAAATTCTTGGCAGATTTGTAAAGAGGAGATGTGTAAAGATACAGTCTTTACGGATCAAAATATGTAAAACTGTAATATGACTTTCTAAGACATTAGTTCCTCAATATCAAAAAATAAAAATAGTATTGTCTTTGTTAATGATTTTTCTACTTTTCAGCTTTCCAATAAGACATAATGTTCTTTTATTAACACACTACAGTCACTCTGAAGTTCTCCAAGTCTTTATTTTGGCCTACTTTGTATTTGGCTTTTATTTGCTGAAGCAGTTTTTAATGTATCCTGAAAGTTATAAGACCAATATATTTTGCCTTGAACTTAGTATCTTCATGCTGTAACTTAAATTTTTTTTCTTTGACTAGATAGTAGGCTTACATTCCTAGCCAGTGCATTTTCAATTATTTACAAGGCAATATGTAATTATTAAAAATTAATACAATCACTGAATTGACTCTTTAAAGTAAATTTGCCCTTTATATATTGTTATATATTAGTATTATCAGAACAGGTAAAAAGCTCCCACTGAAGATACCACATTTAAATACAGAGCTGCTTTTTCTGACTTGAGATAGGGTATGCTATACAGGCCCAGGTCAGTTCGAATCTGTGTTCAGGCAGGTCAAACAAACATCAGTAATTGTAATATCAGTAAAAAAAGCAAGTATAAAATTATAAAAATCCATTGTATTGTATTGTTAAGAGATAAGGTTGGAGTAAGAAATTTAGAAGTAGGACTATCATAATTTCCATTTGGATCTATGTGTAAGTGACCTTTGTTATACCATCTTCTATGGAACCTAGGAGGGAAACCATTCTTATTTAAAACTTTTACTAATATTAATTCACCAATAATGCCAATATATATACTCAATTCACTTCCTAGTTTACTTGGAATCACCTCCCTCTCAATATTTTCCACAATTTTAAAATTAAAAATAAAATAAGCCTTTCTTATATGCGAAGGACCACCTACATACATAGCCTTATATTTCATATTAAAAGTTGCACGGGAGCACTTCTAAACCTTCTCTTAGAAAAGCAAATGCACACACACTTAGGACTTCCTGATAAATACAGACCTCAATTTCACTGGTAGAACATCTCCCAAATTAGTTTCTGAAAGCGAGCAGTTCTTTACCTTCAATACTGAAAACTCACCTTATCACAAAGGAAGCCACTGTTCCTGGTGCCCACTTTATCACAATCACAGGGTTTGCAAACATCCATGGCGGAAGGATCTGCACCAACTGGTCGGAAAAAGTAATCCTTACATAGCTCACAGTTCCTTCCTGCGTCAGAGAAAGGTTATGCGTTATGACTTCCAATTCATTAAAATCAGCTGCATAATTCAAAATTAAAGACTGTATTCCTTTGAGGGAATTCTATAATTTTCGGGACGTCCATTTTAATGCACCTTTCATCTCTACCTGCCAATTTAGTGATCCAGAGCATATGAAACAATGAACCTGTTACAAACTGTGCTTTACTTCATTAAACTCCCATCTGTTATATAATACCACACTTCTAAAAAGCTCTGCTTTGTTGGGGCCCATACATTTTGAAAGAGTTTGTTTCTAAACTTAAAACTTTTCTTTATTTCTAGGACTAGGCACTTAATCTAAATCAAATATGAGAGGGGTGCCTGCGTGGCTCAGTTGTTAAGCGTCTGCCTTCGGCTCAGGTCATGATCCCAGAGCCCTGGGATAGCCCCCCCCCCCCCCCGCATCGGGCTCCCCGCTCTGTGGGAAGCCTGCTTCTCCCTCTCCCACTCCCCCTGCCTGTGTTCCCTCTCTCGCTGTGTCTCTCTCTGTCAAATAAATAAATAAAATCTTTTAAAAAATAAATAATAAATAAATCAAATATGAGAAATGTTTATGTGTGAGGTAGATGATGGTTATACAGTTGGAAGCAAGTTGGCATGCAGTATTAGAAATATTTTTCAAGGGGCGCTTGGACGGCTCAGTCTGTTAAGCGGCTGCCTTCAGCCCAGGTCATGATTCCAGGGTCCTTGGATCGAACCCCACCTCAGGCTGTCTGTTGAGTGGGGAGCCTGCTTCTCCCTCTACCTGATGCTCCCCCTGCTTGTACTCTCTCTCCAATAAAAAAAAAATAAAAAAATATTTTTCAAGAACTAAATCTTGTTTTAAAAAAAAGACACCGTTCTAAATATATTAGTCTATAGTTAACATTATTAAAAGCAAATGTTTCTCTGTTTATGGCCATTATTTTTTATTTCATATAGCAAAGTAGAAATTGATTATGTTTAGATATATTAGAAATATGAGGTAATTCTTGTAGTTTACAATTTATTATTTAGAAATTTTCTCTTGCCATTTTATATATTAAAAAATATCTGTACTATGGGGGGGTTCTAAAGTAAATGTGAGTAGCATATAAGACCACTGAAAGAAGCTGAAATAAAACTCAAGACTATCAATTCCCCTTTAAACATTATGTACTCTACTGTCTTCGAATATTACTAAAATTGGCTCAATATCAGAAGACTATAGAAATAACTTAATCAAGTGAAAAACACATTCTGATGGATATTGGCCATGGACTAATTAAAAATTAAATGAATTTATAATATTTCTAGAATATTTCTATTTGCATATGCTGAGGTCTCCTGAATTTCTATCTCTAATCTAGAAATTCCTTATTTATCATTCAATGAATATTTATTGAGTGATTACCATATTTTAAACCCTGTGCTAAGTGCTGAGAACTACAGTAGCAAGCCAAATACATATTGTACCCCTTTCACAGAGCTTTCTTACAATCTAATAGGAAAGATGATGCCACTAAAGTATATAGATGATACTGATCTATTCTGAGGCATCACAATAAGGTTTATCTTAAGAGAAGAGTTTCAGGAGTTTCTATTTGTCCACAAAAGTTTCTCCTATGTCTCCTGGAAATACTGTGAACATTTCCAAAACAGAATTTGCCATTTTCCCCCTAAGCTTTGATCATTTTGTGTTTCCTATCTCAATGGCTGGCACCAACATTGACCCTGTTGTTCAAAGTGGAATGTTAGGATTGAGTCTTGACTCTTTCGTTCCTACACCCTACATTTTGCTCAGAAAATGCTGTCACTTTCCATTCCACATATCTCTTGGATCCACTTCTCTCTATCCATACCACCTTAAATGTACTCGAGCATTATTTCTTACCTGGACTACCACAGTATTCCAAACCACTTTTGGCCCTCTTCAATCCATTCTCCACTTTATAACAGCTGTGTCTTTCAAAAACACAAAACTTGTTATGTCTCTTTCTTGTAAAATACCCTCAAGTGGCACCTATTCACCTGAGGATAGAAACCAAACTCTTCATCATGGTTCATAGAGCCTTCTAGATCTGGCCCCTGCCTTCCTTCTTAGCACCTTCTCTTACAATCTTCCATTTGTCCTTCCATCAGTTCTTTCAGGGTGCCATGTTCCTCTCTCCTCTGGGCCATTGTACATCTGTTACTCTTACTAGAGACCTTTGTCACCACCCCCCCAATTCCCTTCCCTTTTGCTCTTTCACCTGATTAACTCCTGCTGCACTTGCCCTATCTTAGCACTCATCAGACAACTTTGTAATTGTTCCTTTAAGTGTGCCTTTCCTACTATGTAATAATCCACACAAAGACAGGAAAATTCATTATCTTGTTCGTCTTTATATTCCCAGCACCTAGCCAAGTTCTGGTGATATTTTAGGTCATCAATAATTATGTAATAAATCCATTCATGCTTCAGAGTGGTACACTTTCAAATCCATCAGACTTGGGCCATTATATTTTACAAATTGAGATACTGCCTATTTCTGCTTTTAATATACCAGCCCTTCAGAGAACAGTAATTTTCAATGATGAGTCAAAATGCTGTATGCTTTTAGAACAAGACTTTGATAATCATCTTGTGCATTTAATTAGCATTTTTAAAAAGTGTTCCCAGATTACCGGGATCCGTGCCAAATCTGAATGAACATAAACATCACTACATGAAAATCCAGACATAATGGAAGATCAAGGTCACACAAAGAAACTTAAGGGTATACATACTCAAACTAACAATTCCTGAGTCTTCCAAAATATACTCATGGTTTAATCAAATGGCCTGTACTTAAAAAAAAAAAATAGAACTTTCCTGAAAAGATATAGTTGAAGATTAGAGTGCTATTTCTGAAAACTACCTAATTTTTTGGATTCATGAAGATTTAATGAACAAGCTTTACTTTTCTAACCTAACAGTATCATTTTTAAGTTTTTATTTAAATTCCAGTTAGTTAACATACAGTATAATATTAGTTTTTCAAGTATACAGTACAGTGATTCAACACTTCCATACAAAACTGGGTGCTCATCACAAATGTGCTTCTTAATCCCCATCACCTATTTAACCCATCCCCCCACCAACCTCCCTTCTGGTAACCATCAGGTTGTTTTCTATAGTTAAGAGTCTGCTTCTTGGTTTCTCTCTCTCTTTTTCCCTTTGCTTGTTTGTTTTGTTTCTTAAATTCCACATGAATGAAATCATATGGTACAGTATCAAAACACTTTCTTAAGTAAGATAGCAATAACATAATTTAAAATGACATGCATTGTATAAGGCACATGGGCCTCAAAGGCCCAATCAGACTTTGTTATTTGTTATCTATGATTTGCTAGTTACCTGTCGTGTTATGCTCACAATCATCACAGACCCCTCCACCTCCTTTGTGGTGCTCAAATGGAAATGGGTCCACTGAGATGTTGTAGTGGCAGCTTCTGGAATGGTTGTTGCATTGACAAGGTTTACAATTGAAAGCATGAACTTGATCACCTTGGCGGAAAGGCTTATCGTTATAAAGAGGCAAGCAGTGATCACACTGAAACAATAAAGTAACAGAACAATAAAGAAATATAAAGCATTCTTTATGTAACAGACACTTGCATTAGATGTAAAACTAATATCAAAGAGTTAAAAGCCAGCAATAATGTTTTTGAAAAAATGTTTTATAAATCAGAAATTAGCATATTATAGGCATGGTAGTGTGAAATGGTAAGTGTCCATACAAGATGAAACTATGCAAAATGATCTTAATAACCAATGAGGAAAGTTATTATTGTTCAATAATCTTCAATTTTTTTGTCAAAACATTAAAACGTGGCTTCTAGTTTGGGGTTCCACAAGTAAAGAGATTGGAGTCACCACTCTATCGTAACAAGTAAAAAGAAAAATCAACAACTCTTCTTGATCGCTAAGGGGAAAAAACAGGACAAACTGTCCCCAAGACTGGAAGGACAGACTGACAGATAACACGGAGTCTCAGTGACAAAAGCAGAGACTCACTAGCAGAAGCTTCTTTGGGAACCATTTCCAAAGGAGGGGGAAAAAATCTCACTGTACTTAACAAATTGCGGGAAGTTCAGTAGGAACAAGTCTGAGAATTGATGACTCCAAGGGGACCTAGTTATAATGGGGGCTCCCAAATATTTTGTGAGATTTACTTCCAGGAGTTTGACCAGGTTCTCACAGTAAATCTTAGGGGAACATTTCCTCATACTTCTGGCAGAAAGAGGAAAAGGGAACCATTTTGAAATAAATCAGTGCTTACTGCACTTCTTAATATCTGCATTCAGGAGAAATTAGTGAACCAGAGCCTAACTTGATGGGGTATTATCAGAGCCTGACTTAGGGAAGGGAAATACCCAACTCCAGCCCACTCCAGTCATCTTGTCCCACAAAAAGACTGAGATCTAATCATAGGACTATAGAGTGCTTACCCCACACTTCACCACATTGCTAAAGGCTTGTATACAGCAGTTCCTTTTACCAGGCACAACATCTGTCTATGAAGAAAATATTACAAGGAACACTAAAGGCAAAACAAAACAAAAACAAAAAACCACTGCACAATTTGAAAAGAAAGAGCAAGCATCAGAATCAGATGTGTAAGGAACGTTGGAATTATCAGACCAGGAATTTAAAACATCTATGATTAAAATGCCAAGGGCTCTAATGGATAAAGTAGACAGCATGCAGGAACAATGGTTGGGCAATGTAAGCAGAGAGATGGAAATCCAAAAAGAAAAAAAAGAAAAGAAAAGAAAAAGAAATGCTAGAGAGAGATTACACAGAAACGAAGAATGCCTTCGATGAGCCTCTAGATTGGACTCAGCTGAGGAAAGAATTTCTGAGGTACTCGATACAGCAATAGAATCCTCAAAAACTGAAAAGCAAAGAGAACAAAAACTGAAAAAACAAAGCAGACAATGCAAGGACAGTGGGACAACTAGAAAAGTTACAACATACACATAACGGGAATACCAGAAGGAGAAGAGAAAAAGGAATAGAATAAATATTTGAAACAATAACGACTGAGAATTTCTCCAATTTAATGTCAAACACCAAATCTCAGATCCAGGAAGCTTAGAGAACACCAAGCAGGATAAATACTGAAAAAAAAAAATCTATACCTGGGCCCATAATTTTCAAACTACAGAAAATCAAAGGTGAAGGAAAAATCCTGAAAGAAGCCAGAGTTTTAAAAACACCTAACCTGTGGAAGAACAATGGTAAGAATTATATCTAACTTCTCCTCAGAAACCATACAAGTAAGAGGAGAGCAGAGCAAAATACTTAACTGTTGAGAGAAAAAAAGCCACCAACCTAGAATTCTGTACACTGCAAAATTTTCCTTCAAAAGTGAAGGAGAACTAAATACTTTCTCAAACAAAAATTGAAATTTGTTGCCAGTAGAACTGCCTTGCAAGAAATGTTAAAAGTTCTCTAGAGAGAAGGAAAATACTATAGGTCAGAAACTTGGATCAGCGTAAAAAAACGAAGAACATCAAAGAAGGAATAGGTGAAGGTAAAACTTTAAAAATGTTCTTACTGTGAGTTATAAATATGAAAGGAAATAAAAATTATAATAGACTAACATTTAGTAGGCTGTAAGTTAACATTTGAAACTTTGAGAATTAAATTGTTTTTATTTCTTTGTGAAAAGTTGAGTAGCTTGAATCACTCTTGCTTTCTTATTCTATGACTTCCATTCTGAGCAAGCATCCTGTCTATGCCTTGGTAAATGATCATATTGCTTTGTAAGTATGGATGGGTTTCCATCATTTCAATCTTTGTGCTTTCAATGTCATCTTCACCCTATTCCTCATAACCACTGTCCTCATTTTTAAGTTAGCCTTTGTTGAATTGCTCTAGCTGCATACATAAAGTCTTTCAAATGGCAGGACTGGTCAGCTGTTTCTTCTGTGAAAAAAGGAATGCTCAATTCCCCTTTTTTGAATTTGTGTTTCTGAAATGTCACATGGGTTTATTACTGACAGACTAGGAAGAAGCTCAACTACAGGCTTCTTTGAATGGATGTGCACTGACCAATCCCCAACAGACTTTGAAAGAAGAGTCACGAATGGTCACTGATCATGAAAAGCATTGTTTCAGAGTAATTTGTAGACTGAAGAGCCAGCAGCTAAATCTGTACTTTATGCAATTACTCACAGTTAATATATCATAATAACTAATACTTGAACCATGTTGTTGGAGGATTGGTATTATCTAACTATGGTAACTGAAATTCATGTAAATTAGAATTGTACAAAGAGTATTTTTAAAGATTTTGTTAAATATGGCCAAATTCCTCCTAAAAAAATTAAATTCAGAGTCCCACCACTAGAAATATCTGAGAATGTCCATTTTGTGTTCTGTTCAACTTAAAACTTTATCTCTTCATGATTTTAAGAAAAATATTAATCACTGTTTTAGTATGTAAGTCTTTGGTTACTAGTAAAACTAAATGTTTTTCAACTGGTTCTTGGTCAAATATAATCTTTTTTGAGGAAACTTCATTTGTATTTTGCATATTTTTTCTTATTGATTTTAACTATCTTATTATATATTAAGTACATTTTTCTCTTGCCAGTCAAATAGTGAGGATTTAGTTCATAATTTTCAATATATACTTATTCTTTACTTTTTTCTTCTACTTCACTTCTACTTTGTTGGCCAAAATTTTCAGCAAAACAGGTAATATATATCACATAGTCGTGATGGTAGCATATTTGTATTATTTCTGAATTTAGTGGATATGTTTTTAAAGTTACAACCTGTCTAATGATGTTGACTATCTCAGGTAAATTATCATTTTAAAGAAGTATCTATTCCAAAATAACAAGATGCTTTTATATAAAAAATAATAAATATAGTGTCCATTTTATTAAAGGTCCTGATTTAAATATTTAACCTACTGAAAATATAAATTCTTATATAGGTTAGTAAGTTAATCAGAATCTATGCTTGCATGCTTAGAATAAACTCAACGTTATTAATGGTAACATTTTAATGGAGAATCAGTATGTATTTCAACTTATCAAGTTAATTTTAATATCCGAATGATCAGAAAGAAAATTCATATTTTGTACATACCCTAAAACCTACTATAATTTGTCAAGTTATATTGCATATAAAGTATGACTGATTCAAAATAAGATTTAAAATAATAGGGGCACCTGGTGGCTTAGTCAGTTAAACATTCAACACTTGATTTTGGCTCAAGTCATGATTTCAGGGTTGTGAGATCGAGCCCTGCATTGTGGCTCCCTTCTCAGTGCAGTCTGCTTGAGATTCTTTCCTCCCTCTGCCCTCCCTCCCACTCACACTCTCTGTCTCTAAAATAAATAAATAAAATCCTTAAAAAATAATATATACATACATAACAGAATTTCTGAATTATTTTTCTTGCTCTTCCATTTTTTTTGTAAAATACTTAATGAATTCTGAAAGTGTCCATTTTTTTTGAGTTATATATTTAAATTATGAATTAGGAGAGTCAAACCATGTAACATCTCAAAAAGTTTCCCTATCTATTCATAATAATGATCCCAGGCAATTTGTTTTAAGACCGTTAAAAACTATTTTGATATTTTGGACAACAAAGCTTATTTCCTTTTACTATTTTCTGCAATAAATGCTTAATATTTCAGAATAGTTTGACACATTTCATAATCATCATTGGGACAAACTGCAGTCAAAAGCATTTTTGCCAGTTATTTTCCTCTACTAGTTCATAGTTGAACAATTTTTTCCCTTAATATTTTTAAAGTCAGAAAGAAAAAATATTTAAGAATTTAATTGTCAATGTGTCACGCTTTTATGGTATTCTGAAATTTTTAGCAGAAAAGCACACAGTTTTTCTACTTAGCTGAGGAAAAGGAAAACAAAAGACAAAGAGGGGAAAATGAGAATGGAAATATCACAATTTTCCCATCATGTAATGCTGCATTCCAATAATTGGCAACAAGTGCACTCTTCCATTTTGGTCAATTTTTAAAAACTGGTATCATATTCTTTTTGGAGTGATGAAGATTCTTTCTCCCCAAAACCATTTCTCGCCCTTTGGGCTTGGATAGCTGCACCTTTTCTCTTTTTCCATAGCTCTCGATACCCTGACCATGCTCCTATCGCTTTGAACCAAAATTATTGGTTTACTTACATGTATCTTCCAGTAATTGAAAGCTATTGACTTTTGTACTCCCTGTGTCATCTACACAGAAGCTTAAGAGACAATTGCTAAGCTGTTAACTGAAAATCCACATGTGACAATAACATTAATATCCAAAGTAGTCATTCTCAAGAAAATGTAGAGAGGGGAACAATGGGAACAATTAATAAATAGGGAAAGGTTATGTAAAGACTTCAGAATTGGTGGTTATTAGGTGATTTGCAATAACCAACGTACAAATATAAAAGTCATTTTGCAAAAGAAAGATAGGTAGCAGTCAGAATCAGAATGCTGTCAGTTATGGCTCTTTGCCCCCAAAACAATTAAAAGTGGAGGAATTAACCTCTTCAAGTTTTCTTTCACCAGCAACA